CGGCCCTCTTTGCTTGGGGGTTAATTACGTTCTTGAATGGTTTTCTACTAGGAGTCAAGAAAACACGCAAACAGCCAATGATAACTCTGGAAATCAGTGACTCCTTCATCACCCGGTAGTATTCATTGATTATTTCAATCAATAGGTTTAATTGGACAGTCAAAATAACTAATTGGCCTATTTGAATTTCACCAAATCAATCAATTTATTCTATATTCAGTGGTTTTAACCGGCTAAATCAATATTGACTAACAAAAATGCATTTCACTTTGAAGGAAACACTTTCATTAAATAATATAGGAATGATTAAAAGCGGGCCATCCACTAGGAATCAACAGGAAGGTGGATCAGATTTCCTACGTATCCAATTTTGCTTACAAGGTCACCCACCTCAGCAAAACTAGTGAGGTTAATAGTTCGTTCTTTTCGAGTAATTCTTGGGAGCTCAAGTTCCAGAGGGCTATAATCTATCAAATCCCAACTGAATCGCGAAAATACTAAAAATTTGTGGACCAGGTTAGCTCGAAAGAGGAGTTTTCGTGTGCAGCCGAATTATTTCTATTTTAAGGCTTAAATTTTGACTCTGTCGCCAGAGGGTCATAAGTCTGCAGTGGCAATAACTCGTGTCCCATCCCCTCATCCTCTCGACCACCCACACAGCGCAGACGCCGCGCTGTTGAGGCTAATTAGTTTAAGCAACAAATCTGGCGATCTGCATTTTTTGCCCCCAACTCTAGCGATCCACAGTCTAAGCAGGCACAATCTACTTCCAGAAAATCAACAATTTGGGAAGGTTTCTTTTTGCACTAACCTTGAGCGTCTTTAAAATTGTCACAAGCGTCCAAGGTTACCGAGTTTGTACAAGTGCTATGGAAATTCACGAATATGCAACTGCGCCTCAGCAAGTGTCTGTCTGTGGGGAAATTTGCAGACAAAGCAATCCATGACGGTGGTGCAAAACCGGCGCAAAACGGCACAACTACCGCCTAGGCAGAGAGACCACCCACGCTGGTGGCATTTACTGGAAGCCGTTGGCGGCGAATTTCAAAACAAACAAGTAGTGTAAGAGCAATTAGCGGTGTTAGGCGATTCCATTACAGGTTGAAATCAGAAACCATTTGCTGCACACAATCTCTAAATTTACCGAATTTCGAAAAGTAGGCTGAATTGGTATGTCTTGCTCTACACCAAAAGTTATCCGATAGACTGTCACTGGTAAAGCCAACAAACCAATCAAAGTAGCGTTGTTAAAAGTTCGATTTTAGTTGTCAATGTTCAACAATCGGTGTCGCAGCTCTTGACCACCAATCAGCGTGATACACGTACCGACCAGTGATATTTGATTAAACTCGACAATGCACGGCATTGGTCAATCGAGTCATTTTTTGGTGTATTGATGTGAACAGCGAACTAATCAATCTCTTGTGGCAGTGCATGAATTTAAAAGTAAATACTGACGACTTCAGACGTCATAAAAGCATGAAAGCCAACTTGGTTCCACGCTTGCACACATGCGTGTTTGAAAATTGTAAAATGCAACTTAGCCATGAATGCACTAAAAACTGGCGCCAAAAAAACAAAAAAAATAACTGAGGTGTCATATTTATTTATTTATTTTCAATTGATTAAAGTAGAAAAAGTAAATTTGGCCAAGTCTGCTACGAAAAGTCAGTTTTTCCTTACATATTTTTATCAAATCCTTAAAGTCTTAATTTGAAAGGCTTTGAATTGCAGTACCGCTCGTCCACCAAGAACTCCAATAATCGATAACATAACTCTGATTGGCCTTAAGGAATTTAAAATAAACGGAAAAGCAGGAATACAGGCCATTTGTTTTAAAGTTTAAATCTCTTGAGGGCGAATTTCAACAGGGATGGCATTTCTCAACAGACGAAAATGCTTTAGACAAAATGAGTTGTTTGATACGCTTTTTGAAGGAACGTGGAGGCGATAATTTGCTGAAAAATGAACATTACAGGATTTAAAATTAATATTATCAAAACGTCAGACAAACGATTCTAAAAGAACGCAGAAAATTGAACCAAAATAGAAAATTTCTTGGCGGGAAACCATGATATACGTGATTTGTCGACGAAATTTGTTTAGTGTGAAAATTTAGACCAATAACAAAATAGATGCTTATTGTGATGCATAACATGATTGCTGTGTTGCTTAGCTCAAATTTTGGTGCTGCCATACACTGCTAATTTGAGTAGTATTTCACAACCAGCCTCGGAGAATCGTAACTAGTTTTAGACGGGTTCTGAAAGCAAAGAAGAGGGAAAGCTAACCAAGATAATGTCTCCAAACGCCGTTTAAATACTCATAGTGTTAGTATTATCTTCCGTGGCTACTTACTACTGAAATTAATCTAAGCGACTTAATATCTGGTTTGTCGAGAGGGGTGCACACTCTGCGCCGCCGTCGCAAAGAGCCATTTGTTTTTTTAAGAAAACCGCAAACATCACCTAAAGATATGTAAACGTCATGAAATAAGTCCGACGGTGTGACAACCAACTGGCCAATAAGCAGCCACTAGATGATCAAAAATCGAATTGACCGCCCCGAAAGCGTGGTAAATTAGTAAAACAACAAATAGGGCATGGAAACGCTCATTCAAATTTGGGAAAACTTGTAGGCGCCAGTTGATGATGAATTGCCTTCCCGGTTTCTGCTCCGGAAACAGTTTGGTTTATAAAAAGAAACAAAAACGCAATGCATTTGAGACTGCGTCAAGCACCGAGGGGATCATAAAGTGGAATTTGGATACAAACCATCGCAAAACACTTAGCATATTGGCCGTTTTTGTTTGTCGACAAGCGTTATGTGCATTTGTATGCCAAAAAAAACACAGAAAGGATGCAGTGGCATTTAATTTGGCGTCGCCCACCTACAAAAGGCTGGCGGCCACCCGAATGCCAGGGTGTCGAAAGGCAGGACTTACTACCTTGCGTGATGATAAACAGACGACACAATTTATCCAGGCACTAAAACTAAGCAAACATGTTTAAACTCCGAAATTCAGCCAATCCGCAAGGCCCTCAGGCCGAATTTCGGTGAATGGCTGGCTGTCACCCAATAAAAACGCACCTTTCAAGTGAAATTCGATAATGTGAATAATCTTCTTGACTGATGATTAAGCTAGGCTCTGGAAGTCCTGTTTTCCGTGTCTAGAAATTGTCGTTGTTGACTGTAGCGAAGTTAGTCATGAGTGAACCAGTTTTAATTATGTATCACCCAGGTATGCTAAGTAGTGTCGACTTGCAACGAAATTAGCCACGATTCTAAGACACTGTTAGAGAAGACAAATAGTCCAAACGCCCCTCCATTTTCTCTCGACAAACTGGAGTTAATAACGAAAATATCAAGCCCAAACATTATTTCTGCTTTGTATGTGAGCAGTGTAATCGTTGGTTTGGAGGAATTGACGTTGTTATTCTAAGACATCTGGAGCATTGGAACAGCGTCTGTCAAAATGGGATGGGTGAGGCTGGATTTCCCAGCCAAAATCATTGATTTTTGTCTAGGGTGGTTAGATCTCGTGCCATGACGTTGATAGTCTGCCAACCTGGACCAGCATTTGTGACGTTGTAATCTCGCGTGTCGATGGCTGGATAGCATGCAAGCATGACACGCTGTGACAGTTTGTTGTGGAAAAGGCTCGATATTAGTAAAGACAGCCATGCAAAAACACCACCGACCTTTGACATTAGAACTCTAGGAAGGCCAACACATGGTCGAGCTTGTGGAAGTTACTTTTGAGCCTAAATTGACCGTTAAATTTCGTGTTTTTTTTTTCCGTGACGGGTTGTCGAAACCCCCTAACAGAAGAGAAGAATGTGTCAGATTATCTGGACTAGATTGATCAGTTGTCGGGATCAAAATTGACCACGATTTGGTTAAAAGTAACTGGAAAAACGCCGATGTAGAAATCGAACATGGCTGCAGTAGGTCGCGGTTTAAAATACTGAGTGCAAATCGATACAAATTGTTTACATGTAGCATTAACAACACGGTTTGTCGTCGCAACCCCTGTTTGTGCAAATCCACACTACCCGACGCCGTAGTAATTCAGCTAAGTGTCAGGCAATCAGTCAGCAGTTATTTTACGCCGTTTTCGTCAAAAAAAGCTTCCATCCAAGACTCCGCAAAGTATAGGCAAAAACTTCGGCGCAAACAAAGCCATGTGCATGCACTGTTTGCAAATCTCAGTTAATCAAGTGTTTTTTTTTGCTTAATTTTTGAGATTCTACATCGTCAAAAAAGCGAACGTCCCACTGCCACCCCATTTAAACAAATTCATGCCTGAAACGGGACTAAAGCGCTGAGTTGGGCGCGCAGTGCAGTCTGGTGAAATGAAAAAAAAAAGGTGGACATCAGACTCCGTGAAAACTGTTTTCTATCAACTGAGACGCAGTCAATCAATCATCTAGGCGGCATTCGTTCGCGAGGCAAACGTGTCATGCCAGGTTCGCTGATTTAAACAAATTGTCACAACGTAGCCTAAAACACAACCATTTTATACAGCTAATTTGGTCCTAGAAACAATAGATATTGGGTTGAATTTACGCAGAGGCATTTTGGTTCAAGAAGTTCTCCGAATAATCCTTTAAATTAGACACTTTTCAAGGCCAAGTAATGGGGCTATTATACCCAGAGCTTAATGTCTTTTTAGTCCAAGGAAATGCGCAAAAAGTAATTAATCACAGTAGCCCAGATGACACTTAAAAGAATCCATGAAATTTGAGAAAATTTCGGAAAAACAGTTCAACTTATCCAGCCCGGACGACACGCGACAGGATAACTAGCCTTATGTTCTGATTGGCCACTCCGAAACCAATCACCGCCCTACAGGGAATATGGACCAATCAGTAAGCAGGCTCACACACGTCCTTGCATCGGTGGTGTGTCAGACCAGTCATTGCGGCATTTTAAGCGGTGTTGCTAATTATATGCTTTCGCCTTCGCACGTGCACCGGTAGACATGTTACGGTAATAATATGCTCAACACGGAACACGCCATGTTCTGGATTATCCTCATCCTGCTTCTAGTTACCTTTCGCGACACCAGAGCAGTGTGTAGGATTGAGGACACGAAGTGCTGGTGCGTCGAGATGGACCCACCCAGTGAGAGTCTTTCAAACATCCTAGTCTACTGCTGCCAGAGTGACGTTTTCCATGTCTACATAAACGGAAGTGAGCTTGTGGGAGGCAGCGTGTTCTACCACAAACCCTGTCACAATCTCATCGACTTCCGCATACACGCACCTACCCAGTCAAATCTACCGCCAAACGGACTTGCATTCAATGGACTGCCGAATTTGGAAAGCCTGCATATCACAGGCGATCGATCACTAGGCGCCCTCCCCGACGGTGTCTTCGCTGGACTTGGTGCCAGTTTGCGACAACTGAATCTCTCGGCAAACGCTCTTACGGCCTTGACAGGTGCTGAGTTCGCTGGACTTGGGAGTCAGAATAGCCGATTGGATGAAGTTGATCTTAGCAACAATCGGATGCGTGATCTCGCGGCGGGGTGCTTCCAGGCATTTAGACGAGTGCGACGTCTCAATCTGGAGGGAAACTTGATTGCAGAATTGCGTCCGGACGTGTTCACTGGGTTGGAATTCTTAGAGGAACTAAACCTTCGCTCCAACCCGATAGACGTTATCATCGGAGGGACCTTTGGTTCGCTGTCGAAGCTCAGGAAACTGTTTATTTCTGGCGTTGGTTCTACGACGTCCCTCGCTGCACTGACTCCGGGAATGCTCTATGGACTGCATGCGCTTCGTCAGTTGGAATTCTCTAATCTCGGAATTGCCACCATTAACGTGGAGACCTTCATGGAAATGCGCCAGTTACAGGAACTTGACTTGTCGGGAAACCTCCTAACTGAGGTCCCTCAATTGGCTTTCAAACGTATGGTCCTTGCCCAACGTACAGCCCGCTTCCAGCGCCTAAATCTTTCTAATAACCGCATTATCTGCCTACCAGACGGCTCATTTTCCGATTTTCCCCAACTAAAGTACCTTGATCTAAGCGGTAATCTCTTGACTGTGATCGGTGACCAGGCCTTCCGTGGTGTAAGGCATATGCGTGACCTCAATCTCCTTGACAACCCGCTGTCGGTTATCATCCCCAGTGCGTTTGATGAGTTTACTGTCGTCGACGGAGCCGGATTCAGGAGCGCCCTCAATATCATCCACAGACATCGGCAGCCGGGAGAGATGCTGCTGCAGAATACGGTTGTTCGACTCCCACAAGACGAGAAAATAGTGGGCATGAACAAGCTGCGTCTAAGAGCAGTTTATGGTCGACAAAATGAACCGGTTGATTCCCCCATAGCCATCTTCGCTGACCTGCGATGTCCCAGTCTCCCTTTGCCAAACCACATCTCCCTCAAGCACTCCACATTGAACGTCAAGAACCCCGTTGAGGAGAAGGCAGTCTCTGGTCTAGGGGGATTTCTGTCTGAAAACAAAATCCTCATCATTGTTGTTGTCATCTGCGCAGGTCTCACGCTGATTGTCACATCAGCAACGATTTTGTCCTGTCAGAGCTGTCGAAAACGCCGTCTTCGTCGAAAGAATAACAAGAATCAGATTGATGAGGGTGTAGTCACTAGTCCACCGGAATCAGAGACTGGACGATCGCATTTCTCCGCACCGTCCAAACAAAACACTTTCTCCTACAACAGCCTCGAAGTTGCTAGCGCTGCGTACAGTGAGCAGATACCGGTGTCGATGGAGAAGATGTCGACCAGTGAGAGGCTGTTCAATCTGGGCCAGAAGGTTGCTCCACCGCCCTATCCGCACAACCTACAAACCATGGAGGAACGACTGAGGCAGGTGGCAGCGACTGTCGCGGTTCCCATGTTCGGCGCCTACTCCACCAGTGATTCCCCCCACCACCCACACTCCGGCCAATCATCGCCCAGCAACCTGGGCAGTTCTCCGAGGTTCTCGAGTTCGGCTTCTTCGGTGCAGCAGCACCGCCTCAACCCTCCCCCAGCACTCCACCTGGTCATGACTGGTTCCACCATCGAAGGGAACAAACCACCCCCTCCGAATCCTCCTCCCCCAGGCAGTGCGTCGCCGCTCCACGAGTCTGGAATTGTCTCCGACAACGCCTCGTCCTCTCTTGTGACAGCACTTGGCGTTCTGTAGGCGCCTCCTCCTTGTGTTTGTACATAACTGATAACGGTTGCGAGTAGGTTTGTACATATATTCTTTGTGGTGGCAGTTTTTTGCTGACCAGAAAACTATGCGTATGCTTAGAAGAAGTCATTGAATTCTCGAGTCTTTTTTGGCATTTTCAATTCACTGGTTGGGTTGAACAATCAACTGCTACGCGACTCACTGTCTACGATATTCTCCCTTTTCCATGGAGGTTAATTTGTGTGTATTCGAACAACTTCAGCCCATGGGCATTGGGTAGGTGGGTTAAAATAATCGGGCTAGTTTGGAACAGAAGCATCTATCGACAAATCGCGCTCATAGGGCCATAATTGGGGCACCAATCAATGGTCTTCGATAAACTCCTTTTGATTGTTTCATGCAACAGCTACTCTGATTGGATGTTGACCTAATAGTCATGTATTTAAATAGGCCAGTAGATTAAACGGCCTCGAAGCATCCAATTGGAAAATAACAATGTTCTGGTTTCGCTTAAACGTGTCTTAGTCTTATTTTAGAACCATCTGTACTTTCCAAATGCATGATAGGGATATTCGTTTTTACAAATTCTATCGCCAAAGTGCATCCAACTCGAGCACAAGGCTTTTTTTTTCACACTAAACAGCTTTTATCATTAACCTTCTAACTCGATGGTATTTTGCAGAGTAAGTTTCAATTCTAGTATGCCACTATCTGTTTTTTTCGGCGACTGGTTACTCGATTGTTTATTTGGGTGGTTGACGGCAGAAGCATGCACGGTTGACTGCTCTCATGATTCTTGCATAACCAGAGTATTGCCGTCCAGATGCGTCGTGAGTCGACATAGCCGTCTCGGGTTAGTGTGTATAAATCGTAAATGAAAAGTTATGTTAATAATAGCACCGAAAATGGTTTACTTGGATCGATATATAGGTTCCGCCCGTTTTGATAGACTGAAGCGTGTTCCCGCAGCCTCATCACCCTTCATCATGACAACGTTAGACCCCGTGTCACTTCGGAAACTGAGTGAGTTAAAAAGGGGGAACGGTTTCGGCACTCGCCACATCCTCCGGACCTCGCTCCTTCAGATTTTCATCTTTTTCGTTCTCTGCGAAACAAGTCTATTCCACCTTTCGACTTTCTTTGAGGAATTGAGATTTTTTTCAAAAATATTGGGGGATATTTGGGAGACACGAACTCTTCCAATCACCCAATATTTTGTCGAGACACTAAACTCCAATTGGTCAATTCGAAACATTGATTTGACCCGGGGTTGGCGCCGAAATGTGAGGTTTTCTCTTTTGCACTGGTGAAGGAGATAACCAGGGTTGATAGAAATGAATCTAAACATGACGTATGTTGGTGTGTGTGTGCGTGAAATTTTGTGTGATGATCACCAAGAGCGTGTCTGACAAAAAATGAAGTCGTTTATGCTTATCTGCCTGACGAAATGCCCTATTCATGTGCACTTTTAAGACACAAAAAGTACATTTCCATAGCAATTTCAACCGTTAGCGCTCACATGCAGACTTCAGCACCCCGAATACTTACACCACTAGCCTCGGTCAAAGTTTGGCCAAGGAAAAAACGTCCGCGATTCGTTTGTTCATCGATCGCCAACTCCACGGTCAGGTGGTGGTAGATTCTCGGCGTGGCAATCAACTACTAGCTCACCGGGACATACCTCGAGATATGATAGACATAGAAGAGAGTCGCGAATGCTCGGCCACTCAGAGCTTAATTGTTTAAATGATGGAAGTTATTGATCCCCAGTCAGTCCTTGTTAATTCGAACGTGCATTAGACCAAAGCGATACAGATCTCTAGTAGGATATAATGCGTTCATCGAGGCCTTTAGACATTCTATGAAAACGATGGCGGCACAATAATTCACCGGTCAATGGATTGGGAATCCCCAACGCAACATCCACCTCTACAAAACTGCTGAAAGGCTTGTGAGAATCCTTCATGAGGATTATAATCTTTCCAAGCCATGCAAGAACTCTGCGTGTATCTGCTGATTCTGTATCAGCAAACGGGCCTGGCCATCGCGTCTTTGCTTCATTGGTTGATAGTGGCTTTCTTGTAAATCAGCTACGTGTTTCACTCTAGTTGCTAGTTTGGTAAAACGGCTTTGCAGTGAAGACGTCTTCTTTGGTGGTCTGTCGTGAAATAGTTTTCCATCCTGTGCCTATCCCCAAGGGAAACAAGTAACTGCAAATTTCTAAGGGGAACCAGTCAGTCAAATTTGACTGCTTCGGCTAGCTGAAGGTCCCAATCGTGAAAATGTCTGCTGGCGAAATTAAGAACCAGTGACCGGGCCTTTGTCTACAGGAACGGAAGTAAACATACGAAAACTCGCAGTCGTGATTATTTGGTAAATAAATTTCGCGTGGTGGCCATACGCTGTTCATTTTTAAAACCTGATTGGCTCAGCCGAACGAGACTTTTGTCCTCGCAGAAAAGTGTCAACGTTGGCGATAAAATGTGGCATTTTTTGTGCGTAAAAAACTCGCATTGTGGAAACGCGATTCAGTTTTACCACAACTGTTGAAGCTAAAATGCGTGAATGTGCCTAATTTATTACCTCAAATTTAGAAGAATCTGACGAAAAAATGGGGCTAATAATCATGAATTTAAGGAAGTTTTGTACTACCTCGAAAATTATTGCGTATTTTTACCTGATGGTTAAAGCCATGACAGAATTAGACATCTTGAATTCACATGCTTTAGCAGAGGCTGTACTCGGCAAAGAGAAATGAGCAATTGACTGAGTAAAAAGAATTGACGATTTCTGAAAATTCCACAGTATGCAACTACCAGAACTTATCAAGGTATGGCATTGCTCAAAATGTGGTGGTGGTGGGGTGGGGTGGTGGTGGCGGTGGTGGTGGCGGTGGTGGTGGTGGTGGTGGTGGTTCCGTTCAAAGGGAAGCGTTCGTTTTCCCCTTATACCCCTGGCTGTATGTGGGAAGTGAAAACGTACAGATGCGTTACCGAGATATCCAAGATAGTTTTGTTTCTTTCACACACAAAAAGTTACCTTTTAAACGACCGGACACTCAGGCTTTTAGTAGAGACACATGCTTAAAACTGCCTGAGGAAACAGCATTCTCCCGTGCCAACTTCGCGTACACGTTTACACTTTTGCACACCATTTTATATCCTCCGCGACTTCATCCCATTGGCTCAGCCTGTTATGGAATGTGTATTATGCTTGCGTTTCCGTCAAGATCAAGCAAAATAAAGCGAACGCCAATAATGCTTGAAATGTTCCTCCTCGATTTCATAATAAAA